TTTTCAAAATGTTAAGAAATGGGTATAGTGTAAGTTGTACTTTTAAATTCACATTGACATATAAATCTAGGATTTAATACAAGAAACTTCTATTTAATTAGAAATTATAGAGAGGAATTAAGAGTAAACAGGGAGGTTATTTTATTACATGAAATCTCTGAAAACTGTCTAACAGATTTTTCTTTCTGGACTTCTTCAGCTAAAATTGATAGACTCAGTGAAGAAAGGACAGTAAAGTAGGGGAAAGCATGCGGCAAGGGGCTGCGGGTCAGACTCAAACCCGGGCGGGCCGCTCTCAGCTGTATGGCATGTGGTCACCCGCTCAACGCACTGATCTAAATTTGGCTTCTTATGAAGTTACTTTTCACCCTAACCCCCTAACACAATCTTTTGATAGATTCTGCACAGGTGGGATTACTGCAGTAAACTCAAACACTGTCACAATATTGATCCAACTAGAATATTTTCCAATAAAATGTTTAATAGAAGAAAAAACAATTGTGCACACAGGGTAAAATAATGAAGTGGAAAAATAACAACTTTAATCCAAATTTCAACAACAAACCAACAAGACATTACACATTAAACAAAAGTCAAGACAATCCAAACAGGACGACATTCACAATGACTAACCCCGAAGAGTTTTAAAATGACTGTGTGCTGATAAAAGTCCCACAGATTGCGGGGGCGGTGCAAGGGTGTTCACAGACTCTGGAAACAATTTGACGTTCCCTGTAGAATATCTGTAGCGAGTATGTCAAACACACCGCCTGTGGACCAGAACCGGCCTTCTGAAGTGTCCGATCCGGCCCACCGGATGGCTTTGCAGTTAGTAAAAATGTCAAACAACTTTTCACGGCATGTTGCAGCAGCAAGCAGCTTTTGAGTTCTTAAGTGTGAATCACACCGTGAGAGTCTGAACTGTCAATCTAATGTGGAGTCAGAGGAATCATCAGTTATATGCCTCCTTACTGTCAAATAATCTGCCATACTTACAAAGTAGTGTTCTCGACCCCCACCTATTCACAGTTCAGTATTATCAGGTTATCTTCATTAGGATGACAGTTTAAGTTATATTTGGTGTTTGAACTATTAAAACAGGCAGTTATAGGTGTTTTTAGAGGGATCTCAGGTATTTGTGGATTTAAACTATTCACATGTGGTTATTGGGGGTCAACTGCAGTTGATGAACCTTTAAATAACACAAATGAAACAATGTTGTCTTTTCATTATTGAATTTTTTTTCACTTCTTTCTTTGCATTTGGGCACTTTGTTCTTGTTCATTGTTAGTACAGCGAACTTTGTGATACAGGCCTCTGAATTAATTAAGAACAACTATAACTAAGACCTCAGTCACACAGGCATACAGACTGGTTGCCAACCAACATATGTAATCCCAAGTCAATTGTTGAGTGGTTCGTGGAGGACGCTGGGAGTTGTCTGCCTAAAACTCATTGGAAAGACTGCACAGTGATGCACCAAAAACCTGCTCGTGATTGCTTTGGTCACTAGCAGATTTCTGCGGTTTCCCTCAGGTTGCATGGAAGATACAGACGGGTCTGCAAACACTTGCTAACTAAGTCCCAAGCTGTACTGAGACAGAGACCATTCATCTTCAAAATAAAAGTTGCACCTTACAAGAGCAGTTAGCTTTTTCTTTAGAGGCAAACTTTTCAGTTTTAAAACAACTCTGCAAGTAGTTTACAACCGTTGTCTCCCATATTAATTGTTGAGACTGTGGCAACCTGAGTGTCACCAAAAGAAATCTCACAAGGAGGTTTTCGGTGCAGCGCTCTCTTTACAAACAATTTCACCCATCAACAGCCAGAAACCTCCAGCAAACAGTCGGGTTGCACTACTTACCGCTGATTGCCAAAGAGGTGCAGGCCGATCTGTAGGCCTGCTTTACCGAGGTCCAACATAGGAAACAACCCACCAAAACAACATTTACTGTAAAATGATCAAATATAAAACTAACCTTCATACAACCGGCGTCAATTAGAGCTGGTCAAAACTTATCAAACATCTCCTGTAAACATAAAAATAGTTTTTGTTCTTGAGACTAATACGTAAACAGCAAAGAACTCATCCAGCAAAATTACTTTTGCCCCCATAAACAAATTACTCTGAAATACTAAAGATAAATAAAGGTTCAGATCTGAAACGGGTAACAACAAACTCACATTTTCTTATAAAAATAAGATGAAATAACATAAACAGGACTTTTAACTTTAAGGGACCTCTAATGAACGGAATCACATTTACTTTGTTAAACTTCCCATAGAAAAGTCTTCTGATGGCATCTGGTGATCATCTGTATTTCTCTTATTGTCAACAACTCTCCCAAATATGAACTAAATGTTTATTTTCAATGAAAACTATGGGCTCAAATTGTGCTCATACATATTTTGCATAGTTGTGAACTGAGTTTTGTAACCTTGTAAACCAAAATATCTGAACATTTTAGGTTGGTGCATCTATAAAATTTCACCGAACTCTGACACGCACAGAATGTTTTCCTTCGTGGTGATGAAGGACAACGCTGGGCTGGCACGTGAAAGGACCATCACCCTTCCAGGACCTGAGGCTCCGTAAGGTACCCCTCCGACAACCACATCCATCTGTTCTCTGATTGGATTGTTAAATTTGTGATTGACATGACATTGACCAATTAGCTGAAAGGAAGAACAATTGGGTGAAAATTCATATTTGTAAGTTGAAACTTACACACAGCAAGGCAACTTGAGCACAAGGTTTTACACTTTGTTTGTTGCTGTGTATCTGTAACTAGACCTTAATAACAAGTGTAACTTGTGTAATTTTTTTTATATACAAACACACATTCTAATCTACAGGGTGGTCCATTTATATGGATACACCGTAATAACATGGGAATGGTTGGTGATATTAAAGTCCTGTTTGTGGCACATTAGTATATGTGAGGGGGCAAACTCCTCAAGATGGGTGGTGACCATGGTGGCCATTTAGAAAGAAAACTGTCACTAATAAAGAAACATCAGTGGCTGTCCTAGCTTCATTCAGCAAGAGCCCACATGTCACTGGAGAGTGGCATTAGTCGAACATCCCTTCAGCGGATATTAGCTACTCACAAATGGCACCCTTACAAACTCCAGCTACTGCAGCACAGAATTTGCAGAATGGGCAAAACAAAAATTGGAACAGGACCCTCAGTTCACGCAGACGATTTTGTTCAGTGATGAGGCAAACTTTTATGTGAATGGTGAAGTTAACAAACAAAACCACCGCTATTGGTCTGACACTAACCCACATTGGATGGATCCCTCCAAGACTGTTGGAACAACAAAAGTGATGGTTTGGTGTGGTATATGGGGTACAACGATAGTGGGTCCATTCTTCATCAATGGAAACCTCAAGGCCACTGGATATTTGAAATTGCTACATGATGATGTGTTTCCCTCTTTATGCACTGAAGCTGGCACGTTCCTTGAGTTTTTCCAGCAAGATGGTGCACCGCCACATTATGGGTGCCAGGTCTGAGCATTCCTAGATGGACAGTTTCCTGGAAAGTGGATTGGTCGTCGTGGGCCAGTTGAATGGCCCCCAAGGTCTCCCGATCTGACCCACTTAGACTTTTATCTTTGGGGTCATCTGAAGGCAATTGTCTATGGTGTGAAGATACGAGATGTGCAGCACCTGAAACTACGGATACTGGATGCCTGTGCTGGCATTTCTCCTGCTGTGTTGCTATCAGTGTGTGAAGAGTGGGAGAAGAGGGTTGCATTGACAATCCAACACAATGGGCAGCACATTGAACACATTTTATAAGTGGTCAGAAACTTGTAAATAACTCATGAAAGAATAAAGTTACGTTGAAACCAAGCACACCATTGTTTTTCTTGTGACATTACCGATAAGTTTGATGTGTCACATGACCCTCTTCCTATTGAAAAAACAAAAGTTGCATCCAAGATGGTCGACTTCTAAATGGCCACCATGGTCACCACCCATCTTGAGGAGTTTGCCCCCTCACATATACTAATGTGCCACAAACAGGACTTTAATATCACCAACCATTCCCATGTTATTACGGTGTATCCATATAAATGTCCCACCCTGTATAGATGCACAACCATAACACTTTCAGAAATTTTGGTTTACAAGGTTACAAAACTCAGTTCACAACTACGCATTTGATTTACAAGCACAAAATATTTTTGAAAACAACTTGAGCCCATAGAAAATGAGCAATGGTATAAGGAAATTAAACTTTTGGATTTGGAAAGTATTCAATGCAGCAATGTTTTCTTTACTGGTATCAACAACATGTGACATTTAAAAAAAATGTAATTTTTAATTTTTTTTAACAAAGCACTCAGAGAGCGCAACTCCTCCCAAAAAGTGAGGACTATATACTATAATGTTTATGTTTGATGTTTTTATTAAAACACGCTGGTGTCAGTCTGCTATGGCGTCATAATGGAAAAAACAAAACAACACAAATCATACAATCATACTTGGTATGGTTTCTTGAAGAAATTTTTTTAAGAAGACTTTGACCTTGAGCGCTAACCATGAAGGTCAAGGTAAAAGGGTTTGCTAACCTTCAAGACCTAGTATATTGTTGCAAGGCTTGAAGACTATCTTAAAAAAAAAAACAAACAAAAAAAAAACGTGGGTAACAAAGCGCTTTATTTCTTTTTTTATTAACTGATTTTTTTAGGTTTGGTGTGACCTTGATCTGATGTTGAGCTGTTATTGGTATCTACCATCACAATATTTGAAAACTGTAGACACTAGACTGGCTGAGATGGCTGTAGCTCAAATGGTGCAGGTGACCACAAACCATTACCTGGAAGGTTAATGGTTTGATCCCAGTCTTCTCCCATCTGCATGCCAAATATCCTTGGAAATATACTAACCCCACGTTCATATTCCGATGCATCTATCAGAGTATGAATGTTAGATAGAAAGCACTTCGCATACAGCGTTTGAAAGAAAAAAAAAAGTGCTTGGGTGAATGTACAAGTTGTGTAAAGCGCTTTGAGTGCTCAGAATAGAAAAGCACTACATAAGAACCAGTCCATTTACCAATTAGACTGCTAAGGAACACTATATGGATAGTGCTTTTTGTAAAGTATCATTCCCTAAACTTGTAATCTATTGCGATACTATAGTTATCATTAATCCTGGGGTCTACATGTAGTAAAAACAGGACAGCTAGAGTTACAACTATGATTTTTTTTTCAGGGGGGTTGTTGACAATGAGATAATGTAATCTTTAGGGCACAGAGGTACTTTTTTTAAAAGAATATGTAAATCGAAAAAAAAAAAGTGCAAACAGAGAACAAGATCATCTGAATGTGTATGAAAAATATTTAACATTTCCTGCAGATTAGCATCAATCCATTACTTCCGTCCAAAAGTCACAGAAACACTAATTTCCCTGTACCATTACGCTTTGTTTGTAGTACTGAGTTAAATCTGCACCATGTTCATTCTCAAGAAATGTAACTAATAACATTTGGTGGACTACTGATTAGCATGACTTCCGTAAACGCTAGTTATGCTGACACAATAGTTGGAAATGTACCTTTTTTTCCTCCCATTTTCACAGCTCTGGCAGTTCATGTGTAGACTCAGTCAGTTTTGAAGTCTTTTTGTCCTTCCCCAGTTTCAAAGTAACTGCTGGTCAAGATTTAACAGCTCCTGGTTTATCACAATCAACTCAGTTTCACAAGTGCAGGTAAACGCCAGTGCAGGTTCAGCGCAGTACTGCTAATTAAGCTTCAATGTCCAGGATCTTTCCAAGGACTAAAGGTTCCTCCAGCTCAAATTATATCCCAAAAAAAGGAAGCTAGGCTTTGTTTACCATAGTAACCTTACATTTTAGTTCTTCTAACCTTTGAGTCGCTAACCATTATTTTGTTTTCTTTGATATTCCTTTGCCACATTGCTGCTAGCATATAGCAGCATAAACACGCCTTAATATGCTGAATCTTTGTCGAAAACAAAAAACCATAGTGAAGGAACTTGGAAAATTTGTGGACACTACATGCAAAAAGTTACTTTTAGAACCTGACCAATACTGGAGTTTTAAGAAGGATACCGGTAACTGATATTCTAATATCTCAGGTGATATTTTTTATTTTTCCACTTGAAACACGAAACATAACATTTGTTATGTGTACTTACTAATGTACTTATTTCTTTATTTTAAATTTTCATTTACTGGCAAATATCTAATACTGGCCAAAAAAGATAATGCCCTACCTGCTTTAAGAGCACTAGTTTTATTGGTAAACACAAAAAATACTCAATATTTACTTTGTTTGTAAACTGAATAACCTTTGGGTCTCAGAGTTTTGGTCTGAACAAATCAAGGCATTCGAAGGCCTCAGCTGATCCTGAGAAGTTGCCTTTCTGACATTGTGAAGAACACTGAACGTAACCATTAGTTTAAGTAAGAATAAAAAAAGCAGCCCACTGTTAAAAAGTGAAAGAAAACATGAAATAACTGGATGGTACCCTCTTACATTGGTGACGTTATCAGGAACCACTGTCATCCCTTGAACTTCAGCCGCTACCGTCTGGGCCGTCTTGAACACTCACCTTCTAACTATCTAGAAACCTATAAGCTAACTTTCCCCAGAGATCGGTTGGTATTGAGGGTGAGGCACATCTTTCCCCCTCTGGGTCACTACTGTACACACCCACCACATTTTAGTTTCATTTTTGGGGAGAGGGCATGCTGTCCACCTTAGCATAACTGTCTTCAGTTTCAACCCTACTAAGCTGCTCTGTTTGTTGGTGGTACTTCTTCTGGTGGATCAGGAGGTGTCTTCTCACACAGTGGCCCTGGCTGAAACCTTTCCCACAGTGTGTGCACTTGTAAGGCTTCTCTCCAGTATGGACTCTCATGTGAGTCACCACGTTTGACTTGTGAAAGAACTTCTTGTTGCATTTATCGCAAGCGAACAACCTCTCCCTGCTGTGGTTCTTTGTATGGATCCGTCTGTCTGTGGCTGCCGTGCTACCCGAGTGAAGTGCCACATGTTGAGACAAAGTATCCAGGTGGCGGAAGCGCTTCCCACACACATTGCAGCTGTGTGGCTTCCCCCCCGCATGATTGGTCGGCCGGTGAAGTTTGAGCTTCAACTTGGAAAAGTTTTTTCTGTGTGGCTTATCCACTGCATGGACCCGGGACTCATGGTTCTTCAGCACCCACTTCTCAGGGAACGCTTTGTGGCAGGTTCTACATTTGTACGGCGTGTTTCCCTTGTGTCGAGCGAGGTGACCCCTGTAGCCAACGACGGTGAGGAAGGACTTCCCGCAGATGTTGCAGGTGTGCGTTTTCTGGTGAGTCTGAAGATGACTCCTGAGCTGCTCTGCAGACACTGACTGCTCTCCACACACTCCACAGAGCCTTTCTCGCTCGTCCACATGACTCCAGGCGTGTTTGATCAGCATGTTTGTCGACCCACGTAAAATCTGGCAGACTTTACAGGACAGCAGAGCCTCGCTGTTGTGAATCAACATTTTCTGCTTTGCCTTCTTTATTCGGATGACTGAATGTTTGACTCGTCGATTCCCTTTCGTCTTCTCGGGTTCACCGTTCACCAGATGATCATTGGTTATGTTTGGTTTCTCATTGGGAAGCCCATCACTCAACTCGTTGTGTTCATAAAGTATTAAAGATTGCAAGGTCGAGAGACCAGTGTACTCCAAACCACCCTCAGATTCCTTCAGCTCCACATCTTTGTGACGTGATGTTGAGCTGTTTGAGAAAATGTTCACTGGATTTTCTTCCGGTTGATGAGGGCTTCTGTGGGAACAGAAATTTAAAGTTTAGGGCTTATTGTTGTTATTAATGACAAACAGTTTACTGGTGAGTTGAGATATTCAAAGTGGTGTCTGTGTAGCATCTTCTAACACCACAGAGCATGAATTGATTGGGAGTGAATGTTTCATAAAAAGCAATCTGTCCAGTTAGACTCTTTCAGCAAACCTCAGACTTTTTAACAATTGGATCTAACAGGTGGTGCTTACCCCATGTGCAGCCCAGTTTGCTCGGTAAAGGACGGAGACTCTTCAGTGCCGTCAACTTTTCTCTGTAGGTCAAGCTTTTTCGCGCTAGTCTGGACTCCCTCAGGTGCCTGCGTGAATATCCAAAACATAAAGTCGAATTAGAAATCATTAACCTCTGGTACGTGAGCATACATCAAAATAACTTTTAACCCTCTGGGGTTGCCGGACGCGCCGGTGCGTCAAAATCACATGACCAATTTAAGACGACACAGCTACAAGATGCAGCACGTCGGAGTCTCCATTTCAACTTGGCTCAAAAGTGCGGACTTCAAACTATATACCAGTTTTTGAATTGTGTCGATGGGCCACGTAAAACCAGAGTTATGATAAAAAATACACGCGATGTTTTTTTCTGAACAAAATAGTGGCGTTTACAGCGGGAAGGACGGTAAAAACTGCGTTTTCTACAGATATCGCTAGTATATCTCCCTTTGTGAGTGAAAAAAGAAAAAGAAATAACACCCCTTCCCTATTGGTGTTAGAGTTTACCATGTCAGCCAATCAAAAAAATGATAAGGCAACCTGTGACACTTGGTTGTTTAGGGAGAAGAGGAAGTTTTTAGGAGTGACACCCGCGACGGAAAGCGGGCGAGCGAAAGACAGAGTGAGAGAGTTTTCCTATGTGAGACATTAGTGACGTTTAGCGTGTTTGGAGGCTGTAGTTAGTGTGTTGTGTAGTTATTGTCTCGTATTGTGTGTCAGTTAGACTGCTGAATTTCATATTTGCTCTAAAAAAGCTGTCAAAGGCAGATTCCAGTGTAAACGCTGTTCCCACATGGAAAACTGGACGGATGCACCTCCTGCTGTCAGACCTGTGGTGTTCTCCTCTGTCTTATACTGAACACAAACTATTTTTTTTGGACTGGCACAAATCATTTGTGTGCCTTCTTATTTGGTGCAGAACACCTGATTGTTCTGTAAATAGATTTAAATGGTTATATAAAAAACGCCTGAGGTGTTGGCTGCATTTTTGGTAAATAGTACCTGATAACTTTGTTGTTTGCAAAACTTGTGCATAATTTTTAGAAATGTACAATTTCTATTTGCATTTCAAGTTATGAAAATGATTCGTTAAACATGTTTGTGGGTTTTACAGTAAAAAATATAACTTTTTTCTACTCAGATTTAGAATTTTTTTGTCTGAATTTAGATCAACTGTCCTAATATAGTATACCAAAATGAAAGAATAACTCAAATTTCAGATATTTGAGGTTGTGCTGAAAATAATGATACCAAACAAGGCAAGAAAAACATATTTTAAAGGTGAAATATAGAGGTAAAATCAAAAGTAGTCAAAAACGGCCAATTATACCCTGGACGCCAGAGGGTTAAGGCCCCGTGATTATTTCCATTTGAACCTAGAAGTAAGAATTTTAGAGCTCCCAGTCGGAATTTTCAACTGGAATGTACATCTCAAGTTGAACTAGCCCTGACTTCACAGTCCAAGACATCCGACTTCTGAGGCAAATATAAAACGCATCAGTCACAGAGGCGTAGAGACTAGTAATCACTGGTTGCTAGGGAAAAGTGTACTTTACCTCAGTTGGTTGGTTAGTGGTTGCTAGAGGGTACTTGCTGTTGAGCGGGCGACATTTGCGAAATGAATACTGGAACAAAAATGTCCTACGATTGATTTGGTTGCCAGTAGACCTCACAGAAGGAGCCAACTTGTCTGCAAACACTTGCCAAATATTTGCTAAGTGGTAGTAAAATTGTGAAAGATGTGATGCAAAGAACTGGAGAACATGTGCCTTCAAAGTTGCACCTTATGAAATTTTTTGCCGACTGCAGCATTAAGATGGAAACTTTCCTTTGGAGATGAATGTTATTAATTTACAGTTTGCATCTTGATTTGCTCTACCTTTGTAGAATGAAGGACACACATTTAAAGCAGAGAGCAGTGTTACTTCAGTTTTTGTTGGACTTATTAGACTTTTGGTCAATTAATCTATCTAGATCTTTCACAGACATTCTGAAGGACAACACAAATATCTACCCAGTCAGATGCAGTACCTTGAGTCGAACGAAGAGGACAATGCTCCCACTCGCCTTGATGGCTCTGTACAGCTCCTCTGGAGTCAATAGCTCTACTTTTAGAGGCTGCAGTCTTCTGTTCCTGTCAGCTGTGAGGACGTCAAAAGGTTTATCAGCAGCCAGCTGAGGGAAAGTGGACTTCAGCAGTTCCACAAAGTCGGCCTCCTGCAGGCCTCGAGGATACTTCAGGTGATGAAGCGGGTACTTATTATACACTGAGAAAAAACAGAGAAGCGCCAATAGTCAGGCAGGTAGTTATCCATGAGACAAACACAACAAACAGTATGCTGACTGTACTAACATTAACAAGAAAAAAAGAGACAGCTCACCTTACAAGCTACTGCTGCATTAGGCCTACAGATTTTTTTTAAAATAAATTTGATATAAAACCCTAGTGACAGCAATCCTAAAGGCAACTTTGTCCAACTTTGCCTAATTTTCCAAATCCTGACACTGAAAGTTGAAAACCTAAACAAACACATATCTAAATAATCTAATTTTTAGGTATGGCCCTAAAAATACATATCAGTGCACATTTGTTACCAATCTGAACACAGAATGAGCAGTTTTAAATTTACCTTTAGGTGAAATCACATTGACATCCCAGTCCTGCACAAAGCGGATCCTGAGATCTACATGGGAGCTTGATTGGCTAATCCGAGGCCTACCAGGCTTCCTCCTGTCGGACTGATCCCTGGGAAACAATAACATTAGAGACAGACACCACAGCGTTACACTGGCCCCTTTACAGTTATTACCTTTATCTATTTTAATAAGTTGAACAAATGTGAGAAATATTTCCGGAAGCAGTAAAGATTAGCTTCAAATTTAAGTCCTGTCACTGCAGCAGAGTAAGACAATGTTCAGTACGTTTTTTTAATCTGCAAAAAAATACTTTTTTTCTTAGACCGGAAAAGTTTGAAAAGCGAGTGTCTCTGAAGGTTCTCAGTCATCCAGGTCATCGATCCCAAGACTTCAGCAGCAGGTCCTTGAGCTCCTGAACTGGGCCCATTGTTGAACCACCTTGGAACAGTCTTCGTATCTACCAAGCACTCCACACCAAGAATAACCCACAAAAAAGCTGGATAGAGCACGTTTTAATTTTCATCCACACCACCTTCAGCAACTGACTGGCTCACATTATTTAGTCCATTTTGGCCGGTGTGGTGGAGGACACCAAGGAACAAGGTCGTGTTGACTGGAGCATTAAAGTATCCCAACAAAGTTGATGCACAGGAATACTGACAATATTTTTCCAACTCACTGTCAGTGATTGTACATCAGTGAACACCACAACTTTTCTAAACTTGACAGAACTGGAGACTATAAAGTGCACCCTTCCACAGGTATGTTTTCTATGGCCTACTGGGTAACACCAAGGTCCAGGGAACCTCCATGTGAAGACACCACCTCAACTTTGAAATCTAGGAGCCTTTTTATACCTGCTGTGTGGTAGACCGGAATCAGGATATGTTATTAATCCCCAAGGAATTTATGTAAAATTATGACAAAGCTGACATCAAATTGATATACCAGCTGCTGTCACTAGGTCTATCTGTACTGCTGCCACTCCAGGGTTGAAATGTTGGTTTTTACTTTTGTTTTAATGATAAATCAATAGTGAAGCTCAAAGTCACAGATTATACAGAGCGAGATCCTGCAACACAGTGCTGACATTATCTGAGTGAGGACACCAAAACAAAACAGCCGCCTCCTGTGCCGTAACAGTGAGCATAAATGGATTGGGCTGGGTGACGACATCACTGGCAGCTGCACTTGCAGCGACCAACCTGGCAGTATGCTGGTGCCGTGAAGTGCAGCAGCTTTCAGTGACAGTCTTGTTTCTTCAGTTACTACCTAACACTCACGACCACATGCGAGTTTGAAGGTTCAAGCATCATCACACATATGTTCCTGTCTCTTTATAGATTTCTATTGAACGGCTAAGACGGATAGTTTGACCGACTCACCTCCCATGCATCACAGTTTGTTCAGGGAAAAATGACGACTCTGTAGCTGTGTCCACTTTTTTCTGCAGGTGTTCAAGCTTCCTCGCACCAACCTGGACTTTCTCTGGTGCCTGAAAGAGTTTCGTATTAAAAAAATAAAAAGAAAAGAAATTTAAAAAAAAAAGAGAAAAAAAAAAATCACAAAATGTCTTTGCTTCAGCAGAAAACAGTCTTCGATGCATGATAAGGGCATCCACATTTAGTTTCACGTTTGTACCAGAGAGCAATGTTGTACTTGCTGTACAAGGTTTGCGGATAATGTCGAGTAGGAGTATTTTAAAATGTAGTGAGTACCTTCAGTCGAATGAAGAGGGTATTGATCCTTGATGAATCAATGGCCTTGTAGACCTGCTCTGGAGTCAGTGACTCCACATTCAGAGGTTGCAGTTTCCTGTTTTTGTCAACCGTGAGGATGTCAAAAGGTACGTTAGCAGCCAGCTGAGGGAAGGTGGACCTCAGCAGTTCCAGAAAGTCGTCCTCCTGCAGGCTGCGGTGACACCGCAGTTTGTGAAGTGGGTAGTTCTGAAATACTAAGAGGAAAGAGAAAAATGAATCCACTCAGTCACAGCTTGTTCAGTTATCCATGACGTGTACAACACATAACTAAAAACAGTAAAGATGCTGGGAAGCTTTTTGGCTGATTTATTGTTATTGAACTGAAGCAAACAACCACAGTCAGGGCTCTTATGAAAATGTAAAATCAGACTTTTTTATTTCTCATTCATGTTTTACAGCTTCAACCCACTCTGCTGGTCTCTAAAGACTGTTTCATTTCCAAAGACTAGACAAGTCAAGACCACGGTAATTCTTGCCCCGCAGGGAAGGAGTATGTAATCGGCTCAGTTCGTCTGCCTGTCTGTTAGCAGTCTAGCATCCACAGTAGACCCATGAGTACCTAGGGTGGCTAACCATTAGACCTTCATGGTTACTGCCCAAAGTCAGAGTTGACATTGAAAGAAAATTTCACAAAACCATTTCGAATAATATACAATATGCAGTACTTGTCATAGACCACACCATGCCGTGTCACCACAGCACAAGGAATAAAGTTAATTATTTACATTTACATTTTTAAGGACGGGCAGAGGACAATAGCTCTGCTGTCTGCTAGCATCCACAAGCTTGCTGTGTATGGATGGCAGCTGAAGCCGTTTCTGGACACACAAGTAGCAGCTGTGCATTTACCTTGGGGTGCGACCACCTCCATCTGAGAGTCCTCTAGGATGCGGACCTTCAGATCTACGTGGGAGTCTGATCGACTGAGCTGAGGCTTGCCCAGGCTCTTCTTGTCAGACTGAACTCTGGGACACAATAACGTTAGTGATGGAGATCAGGCGATAAAACGAGAGATTAAATTGATTAATGAGCAGCTGAGGCTTGTTAACATTAACTCACCTGGTGTCCAGTCTGGTTGGATTTGGGGTGGACGGACCGGCTCCCTGTTCCCCCAGAAGGTAAAAACAAAAAAGGTTTGTATCTTAAGTGTTTCCACCAAAAACAGCAACACTGTCCTTATTTTTATGAGCGACAGATCAGATACTTGGTCTCAAGTTTACACAGTACCTTCAGTCGGACGAAGAGAGTAGTGTTTCTCCTTAAGGTGATGGCTCTGTGGATCTCCGCCGGTGTCAGCGTGTCCACACTCAGTGGCTGCAGTACCCGGCTTTTGTCAGCAGTGAGGATGTCAAAAGGTTTACCTGCAGCCAGCTGAGGGATGGCAGACCTCAGCTGGTCCAGGAAATCAGCCTCCTGTAGATCATAAGGACACCGCAGCTCCTGAATGCGGCTTTTCAGAAACACTGGGAACACAAAAGCCAAGTAGGTAAGAGTCTGAACTAATAACACGAGTTACAGAGGATATACTGCTGCTGTAGCTTGTGCTGGTCAGTCACAGCCGGCGTTTACCGAGAACAATCGAAAAGGTTCACAGTTATATATCAGTTACAGTCATTTGGTTTAAAACGACCTAATGTTATTTGAGGCGAAATTTCTTTAAATATGATTAATACGTTAACATGACTCAGACCCGTGTGTTGATTTTGTACAAGCCTGCAGGCACTCACAGAGCCTCTTTATAGACAGACTGTTAACATTTCAGAGTCTCAGCAGAAAAGCTTCCAGAGAGACACAAGCTGTCGTTGGGGCGACCATGGCTCAGGGGGTTGGGAAGCACATCTGTAACCGGAAGGCCGCCGGTTCGATCCCTGGGCTCTCTGTCCTGGTCGTTGTGTCCTTGGGCAAGACACTTTACCCTACCGCCTACTGGTGTTGGCCAGAGGGGCCAATGGCGCGATATGGCAGCCTCGCTTCTGTCAGTCTGCCCCAGGGCAGCTGTGGCTACAACTGTAGCTGCCTCCACCAGTGTGTGAATGTGAGAGTGAATGAATAGTGGCATTGTAAATCGCTTTGAAAAAAAGCGCTATATAAATCCATTATTATTATTATTATCACCTCATACAGGAACTGGAGATGTGACCTCAGAGCTAAAAGCTTTCAATTTACCTTGGGGTGTGAGCACCTCCATCAGAGGGTCCTCCAGGATCCGGACCCTGAAATCCACATGTGTGAATGGGTCACTGAGCTCAGATTTGGTAGGTTTCCTCCTAGCAGACTGTACTCTGAGACACAACACACAAAGATGAAAAAGGAGAAGGAAAGGAGATGAATCACAATAAAGCTCAAGATCCTGTTGAGACTTTTCAAAATAAACTGAATCACGTGAAAGATGCAGAGTATTGACGGATGAGAAGCAAAAAAGAGCCGCCAGGTGCTAAAAAATAAACCTTAGACTCAAACGTCAGAACAGGCTTTTCCCTGCAGCACGCCGTGTAATAAAAACGGCGCCCGTTACAACTTATGACTAAAAATGTATCGTTTCATGCATCAGTTAAAACACTCGACTCCAGCTACACGACGCCCAGCTGGAAACACTTCGCGCAAGTCGAGCTGCCCGAGATTCACAGAATTTACAGAAAATGTAAAATTTTTGTGATTTATATCGTTATCAGGATGATAGATGTCTTATATGAGATTTTGGTCATATCGCACAGCCCTACTGTCTCATTATGCATTTAACTTAAAGGAAAGCAGAGGTTTTGGCAGTTTGATGGTTCGCAGCATTCAGGTGTGTGTTAACACAATGCTGAGGAGGAAAAACATCAGCAACGATCTTAAAGAAGAAACTGTATCTGCGAGAAAAAAATAGTTACCAAAGAATCTAACATCCATCATTCTGCTTCATTTTCTACAGTGGAAACATTCAAAGCAGCTGCCGATCTTCTCAGGAGTAAATGCCCCAGCACATTCACCACAAGGTCAGACTGTGCAATGCCCGGAGAAACTACAGGAAACCAAAAAGCTCCATCTCAGACTCCAAGGTCAGCATGTTAAAGTTCACACACACCTCATACCAAGAGTCGGCACAGTGGGGTGATGATTTGGCCACTTTGCAGTCACCAGAGTCAAGTGCAGACCACAGCCTGACTGAGTTTGTTTTTCATCCTGTCTTGATATGCAAAACCTTAAAATTAGGCTTTTACAGATCTGTTTGCTATGGCTGACTAGCCAATATTTATTATAGTCAGGTTTTGACTTACCCGGGTTTCTTTCTGGTTGGTTTTAGGGTCAATGGAAGAGTTTCAGCTAAAACATCTCCTACACTCAGGAACTGTTTCGCTGAGGCTTGAAGCTCCTCCGACGGCTACAGAAGAAAGAAAAGATTTAGTGGTGTACTGTTGGTCTGTGTAGTTAAATGCAAATGTACGGTGCCCCTGAGAGGACAAACGGACTTCAAGTTAAGAAAACACCAGCAATAAGAAAAACGTTGCAAAACACACAAAACACAAATAGAAAGAAACAGATTTCCAAAAGCATAAGGGAAGTGTTTCTGGGGAGACAATAACCCGACGGACCAGCTGCAGGAACCCAAAACATGCTAGGTGTGTTTTATCATGATTCATTTAATACTGATGATGGATTTTTAGGCTAATAGTTAGGCTAACACACTTAACTCTGATCTTTTCTTTCCTCACAAACCGATAGATCCTCCACTTCTTTTAAGTGTCTCTCAGTGCAGTTCTTAGCATATTTTGGTTCCTGCAACTGGTCCGTCGGGTTATTGTCTCCCCAGAAACACTTCCCTTGTGCTTTTGGAAATTTGATTTTTCCTATTTCTGTTTTAGTTTTTTCTATTTCTGTGTGTTTTGTGTGCTTTTGCAGCGTTTTTCTTATTGCTGGTGTTTTCTTAAGTTGCAGTCCGTTTGGCCTCTCAGGGCCACCGTACAAATGGCACTCCTGACTGGTCACACGTGGAGTTTTACAACCTATTTAATGCTCAAGATTCTCAGAAAACACAAAGACAGACAATAAACCAGATTATTTCTTTGTCTGCTAAGATTTTTTTAGTAGCAGACAAAGGTCTTTGTGAATCAGCACCTTCAGTCGGATGTAGAGCGTAGAAGTCCTCGTAGCCCTCTCCACCTCCTCCGTCGTCAGTGACCGTACTTTCAGAGGCTTCAGTTTTCTGCTTTTGTCACTCACAAAGAGGTCAAAAGGTTCATCGGCAGTCAGCTGAGGGAAGGTGGACCTCAGCAGGTCCACGAAGTCATCCTCCTGTAGACCCCGAGGGCACATTAGCTCATGAAGCGGGCACATCTGATACACTGAAAAACAATGAACACACATGGACAGGCTTTTACTATTTAACTTCACAGTCACAAAGAGACACAGTTTGTCCAAAGAGACACCAAACTGGAGGTTTTATTGGGCGCACCTCTGGCTGAGAGCACGTCAGACTTCATTTTACCCAGGATGCGGATTCTGATCATTACATGCGTCTGTGTTTTCCTGAACCCAGGTCTGCCCACCCTCTTCCTGAAAGAGTAAAGAAGTCAAAAACAACATTATAACAAATAATTTAGCCTTTTATATACGATGTATCTGTTTGTTTTTGTCCTCTATATTTACTGGTTATTTACAGCAGCGTTTGAATACTTGAGGTACCTCATGTGCTCAGCAGCAGCTTTATTTCCGTGCAATGGCTGAAGCTCCTCTTCAGCTTCTAAACTCTGCTGATTCTGAAATAAATTTGTTTTGACAGTTTTTTTTTTAGAAAAATGGCACAAAAACGAGTCAGACTGCAGGACTGTTCACGATTCTTTCCTTATGAGAAGATCCCAACTAGACTGGCTGGATTGCAGCCCCACATCATGACAGAGCCTCCACTGTGTTCTACAGATGGCTGTGGATGCTCACTGTTGTATCTCACTGCACACCATGCTGAGATATGACACTTTTTTACCATAATAGCTCTTCAGGAATCACCTTGTTGGTGCAAAAATGCTTTACTTTTGGCATTTTTCATAGATTAATTTAATAAAACTAAAGAAATGAAAACAAACTGCCTGCAGATCCATTTTAAAACTGATTCTACGCCAAGTCCTCTGTTCTGTGTAGACACAACACTGGTTCATCCCTTGAGTTTGAGCCTTTTTATGCTTGAATGATTCATTCTTCAAAAGACACCATCAGAGCAACGAGCAAAGTCAAGAACATAGTTTACAGGAAGTTAACTCCAGCGAGGGCGTCACACATTAGGCACCTTACCTTCAGGCGGATGTAGAGGGCAGAATTCCCATTTGCCCTGATGGTCCTCTCGATCGCCTCCGGAGTCCACAAGTCTATTTTCAGAGGCTGCAGCTTTCTGGTGTTGTCAGTTATAAAAACGTCAAAAGGTTCATCAGCAGCCAGCTGGGGGAAGGTTGACCTAAGCAGATGCAGGAAGTCGGCCTCCTGAAGGCCACGACGACACTGCAGCTCATGAAGTGGGTACTTCTGAAACACTGCGATGCAGAGGGATAGACAAGTTTTTATCTAGACTGCAGGAAAAGCTTCACCCACAGACTACAGGCTTTGATTAAAAACACAAAAAGTGACTTTTTATTCATTCCTGTGCTTTAGCTGTATTTTACAAATGCTCCAAATAAGCTGAAATACATTATGAGGTATCTGCAGCAGTCACATTGCCCATAAAACTCCATGTCCTCAGTTTAAAATCATATGGGGAAAAACATCCAGAGTAAAATCCAAACCCTTAAAGATGCAACAGTAATGGTTTATTTATTTACATCTTTCTCACACTCACCCCTCTTTGAAAGCACGTCGATCATCGAGTCCAGGATGCGGATCCTGAGGTCCACGAAACTCTGCGTTTCACTGATCCAAGGTCTGTCTGCTCTCCGTCTGTCAGTCTGAACCGTGGAAGGCACGAGCCTAAAAAAGGAAAAGAACAAAATAACCTCAAGATCAGCAGATGAGTCACAAATGTTACAACAGCACACGCACACACAGAGCGGTGTCTGTACACTTACAGTGTGTCTGTATCTTGTAACCGTGGTGCTGCTTCATAACACTGCTGTGCCATCTCCTCCTCCTCCTCATCCTCATCTTCATGTTCGTCTTCCTCTATTTGTTCCTCACTGTAGCCTGAGAATCCCAGGCTTTGGCTGTCCTCCACCCCTGGAAACAAATTCAAAGTTTATTTATTTAGTTTTCCCACATGACAGCATTAATCATACAAATGTGCAACCATGAATAAACAACAGTTAACATGCCGCGTCAGGAAGAGGAAGAAACGCTATTACTCAAATTCTCGTCTTCAAATTTTGTTTGCTGTTAAAAAAACAATTATACGAGGCTCCAACGAACACTTCTATCACTACTTAGTCTGCCAACCATTATCTGAACATTAAAGCAGTTCTGTAGGACGGTTAATTACACTCTCCCCTTCAGTGCGTGAACATGTGATTACAACTGAAACTGTCCGTTGACTGGGGTCAAATTGCAGTCAAATATTTTTTTACCTGAACACTAAAAAAACTCCAAATGTTTGACTCTATCAGTCTTTTATGTCTCAAATTTGGGAAATTTTGTTGTTTCTGAAATTCAGCTTCAAATTCAGCTTAGTTAATTCAACTTATTACTAAGAGAAAAAAACTGGGAGGTTATAATGCCCAACAAACTGTTCATTACAGCAATGCATTTGACAAAGTCAAATAAAAAGTACCAAATGACATAAACAGAAACAACAGTGGGCCCAGAGAGGATCCCTGCAGTACACCACATCTAATTTGAACTGCATTTATACAAACGAACATCAGTGTTTAGATAGATAGATAGATAGATAGATAGATAGATAGATAGATAGATAGATAGATAGATAGATAGTAACATCTCTTATGTTTCTGTGCATCTTGATCCATTACAAATATAAATATGACGACTTTGTTTACATATATCAAAGTAGGTTAAAAGTCATACTCTGCTCATATTTGTGCTGCTCCTGATCTTCTGGTAGTCGACCTCCTCCAGCCTCACAAAGGGAAAACTGCTGCTGGTCATCTGCACCATATAAGCATTTTAGTGTTATTAAGTAATAAAACAAAACAATCAAAAAAAAGATTTCACGTCAGAATTATTCTTATGAGCGCAGATGACACTGCTGATTAACGAGCAACCTGTTTCATTCTCTTGAGTCACAGCAGTAGATGAGTTAAGCTTTAGATTCACCTGATTTACATGTAAACAAACTGCAGACTCCAGGATTCCCACATTCAAATAGCTCTCACATATGGCAGCTATTTGGTGTCCATACAGGCTTTTGCGTGCCTGCAGGTGTTTCCAGGGGAAAGTCCTTTGTGTAGTGGTGTCTACATCGGCCTAATACGCCAAAGATTCCCAGTATGATCCCAGGAGGAGACAAAAGTCTCTTTATATTTGTGTCAAATCTGCTAAATCAAAGCACATGGAGCTACCTGTTGTTTCAACCCCAGAATGGTCAGGTCCAATTTACATACATTTTATTGTCAGAGGGTAAGTGGAACTGTTTTTAGCAAATGCGTGGACAAAACTTATTACACTATTACACAAACTACATACACGGAACAACCCATGGACACAGGCCAGCTGACAAGCACTTAGCAACAACTGGTTCCTAGGGAAACATGACTGTTCCTCGGCAGGTCAAATCAAATCAAATCACTTTTATTGTCACATCACATGTGAGTGAAATTCTAGAGTTGCTAGAGGTTCTTGAGTGACACGAGTCCTTTTTAACCACGTTGTTTCTTATTGGCTGCCCCTCGCAGAGACTTGAAGGCTAGAGAGCACATTTAAGGATATCCCGTTTCATGACATAGGCCAGATCCAACCATAGACAGCTGTAAAAAAAAATTTAATATATAAGGGATATGTTCTAAAAAAATGGGTGTCTACAAAAAAATAAAGGACTGTGATTATTAGCAAGAGAAGTCAATGCTTATTTGAAGGTTCGCAAAGACATTAATGTGAAGATGAACGACGAAGTCAAAAGAAACACCCCCACCCGCCCCAAAAAGGTTACGGGTAATATCTAAACATTATATACGTTGGGAACTTAAAACCGCTGGTTTCACAGCACAGCTGTGTGTTAACTATAGCACAGTATTTTTTATAGTTGATTTAAATAAATTTCAATAGAAACAGTCATGGCAAGCGCTGTAAAATCGCACCACAGCGCTTGAACAAACACCGTTGTGTCCATGTAGCCGGCAGGCCGCCATCTTTGTTTTGATTCGGGAACAGCGGCGCAACTTGGGAAACGATTTAAAATGTTTATTTAAATCAGTCACTAGGATGGGTTTTTTAAGTCCCGATGACTCTGTCATCATTCTAGAGAGGGTTTTATAGCAGCTGTAGCTGACTTTAAACGACATTTCAAGGCTTTAAAAGCCCACCGGATTTCACTTAAAGAGAAACCAAAGGCTAGCTTTGTGACATTACCACGAGCCAATAAAAACTTAAAATTCTGAAATATGACATGGCTCAGGGGTGTTACATGTATACCAAATTAAGGAGTGTTATAATCAGGTTTTGAGATGAATACTCGAATGTCAATGGGCTTCACGTCAAGCAAAGAAATGTTAAATTAGTGTTTTGTAAACGGGGTTCGTCATTACGCGAGCTCTCGCTCTCTCCGCAGGAAACAACACACTGTTCTGTTATCCACACACACAGACCTAAAGCCTCTAACTTGACTTCAGGCTGCAGGAGCTCCAGCAGTCTCCTCTGCCGGTCAATCTCCTGCCTGAAACCCACAGCCTCCTCCTCGTAGTCGGCTACAGTCTTCTCCACCACCGCTAAGATCTCCCGGGCGGCCAAGGTGAGCTTCTCGGCGATGACTCCTCTCAGCATGTCGGTTTTGGACGTATTGGGGTCGGATGAGTCCGGCTCCATGGTGGGGCTCCGTGGGTCCCGCTCACTTCTTTACCGGAGATGAAACAATTAACGCGCGTGGGGGAACGTGCGGTACGGATGTTACACTACAGGCGACGTACAACAGCAAATGCTGCCCGGCTGGAAACATGAACCACAAACGAGAAAAAGACCATACTAAATTTTTTTAATTAAAATTTTTTTTTATATAAATAATATTCCTGCATACTCTACAGAAAGTGGAGCAATATAATTACAATAAAGTTACAATTAGGCTACAGGAAAACACAGGGGCGACACTTTTTTAAGTAACCCTCGGAGCACAATCTACATGTATCATGATTTCTCCCTATTATATGTATTAAAACCTGCTGTTATTGTGATGGAAATGCAGTTAGTGCCAAATAAACCTAAATGGGTTTTTTGGGCGGCGGCGGCGCGGGGGTTCTTTTTTAATAAATACTGATATAATTATACGTGTGATAGTCTATTACTGTGCTATGTGTCATTTTCTCCTAGGATGGTGTTTCCTTTTATGTTTCCAGCCGGACAACATTTGCGCGTTCACTAGCTCGGTAAAAACTTCTAGGATTAAACATCCGACAGAAACATTTTCCCACGCGGGAAAAAAGAAATTATTTCATGAGCGACTCGATGATGATGACGATGGTGCAGAGCTGGGACAGCGAGCCAGACATCGCTAATATGTCCAAGAGCGACATACTGAGAGGAATCATCACCGACAAACTGAGCACAGCCGCTCGGGAGATCTTATCGGTGGTGGAGCGGACTGTAGCCGACTATGAGGAGGAGGCTGCGGGCTTCAGGCAGGAGCTCGACCGGCAGAGGCGACTGCTGGAGCTCCTGCAGCCTGAGATAAAGCAGGAGGCAGGTCGGTGTTTTAGCCCCTGTAACATTTATTGAAGTGCTTTGAAACACTCAGCGGCCACTATATTAGGTACTCTTTCATCTTCTCGTTAATGCAAACAACAAATGAGCCAATCACATAGCAGCAACTTGATGTCTTCAAATGGCCAAGACAACCTACAGTAGCTCAAAATGAGAATCCGAGTGAGAAAGAAAGGTCTTTGGTGCCAGACGGGCCTGTCTGCTGGGATTTTCCCACGCAACCATATCTAGGGTTTACAGAGATTGGCCTGAAACTGACGATACGTCGTTTTTTTTGTACCTATCGTTTGTTTCGTAGGGTCTCAAAATAAACTGTACGCCAATATTTTTTCATGGTTTTGATGGTTACTGTAGTGGCTATATTAATTCCTTAGAGTTCTCTCTTTCTCTTGTGATTAATATGATCACACACCGGACCGACTGTTTGTGAATACTTTGGTTAGCAACAACGACGCTAAAACCATTGTGTGGCTCCGCCGTCCGCTTGTTTATATTCCACATAAAACTTTCACAATGAAGCTCAATATTCTGTCGAGACTCAAAAATAAACTCAAATGATATACATTATTGTCAAACATCAAATTTCAGATAATACATTAAACAAATTGGCTCAAATAAAAACATGTACTTATAAATGGCACTTACAGTCAAAGGAATAGAGGATCCAGACAAGAGAATGCCAGGATGGCCAGTGAAGATGAGCCAAAACCAGGTAGCTCCAAACACAAGGACCAGTCAAACACATTGAGCACCTTATTCCTAAACGAGGGACTACATCTGTAGCATTAACATGGTTGGTTATGAACAGTCTGACACGGACCAGGAAATTGTACTATGCAAATTATAATGCAAACCGGTCCCCGCCATGGACTCAAACATGGAAAACCACTTTTACCACCTATGCAACAACTTGTCTAAAAATGTATAGCTTCATGTATCAGTGACTCCGCACCTAGTGTAGTCTGGCTCCAGCAGATCCTAAGAAAAACGTTGAGATCTGTCCAGAAGACTGCAGTCCTAGAAACAGCTAAGATACTGCTTAGGACCCTCAATGCTCCAAAGCGTCTGGTATAAGACCCAAGCTCAAAGGATATGTGCCACAAAGAATTAAAGCAATTAGGTACTAGCAAGGTGTACCTAATAAAGTGTCTGGTCAGTGTATAAAACGTACAGGATACTCATCAACTTGATTGTAATGGAGACCAGGGGTTCCATTACCTGGTTGGTATTGTTAATAATAAATTGTTGGATTGGGAATTTAAAATAGGGTAATAAAGAAAACACATTAGTTCTTTTGGAGTGTTTTATTAGGTTATTTGACATACGATTAAATTGACAGCTTGTAACAGAAAAGAGACAGTGGGACTGGCCATCCTACCTGTGTCGGAGAAGAGCCAAAGTTAGAGCTGTTTGCAGTTAATCATTTATCAATAACCTAAACATATGTGAAATGAGAACTTGTAAAGGTACTCACCTGTCCTAGTTGCTTCTTGCAGGATGTGGAGCAAAAGAGTGAAAGCGGCTCAATCACCTGTTTAAGAGCTCTTGGAGCAGACCAGTGTGCCAGGTTAGGGAGTATGGATAAAGAGGGTTTTAATTTAGATAGAAATGGGTGAAGCTTATGTTATTGGTTTGTTTATAGTGTGTGTTGGAAATATGTATATGTTTGTGATGTGCTTTAATGTTATTGTATGTTTGTTTGTGTGGAGGGTTATGTGTTCATTTTGATTAGTTAACCCCCATACTTGGGCTATTCCAGATGCTCACCTGAAAAGGTAGAGTATAAAAGGAAGCCATTTTGTTTAGTTGTAGTTAGTAGTGATGGGCAGATGAAGCCCCATGAAGCACTGAAGCTTTTCATCCAATTGGTTCACCCCAACGCGAAGCTTCATGAAGCTTCATTTGCTCTAGCAGGACACCTACTGGACGTAAAAATAATAGCTGGCATGAATTTGAAGAGTGTGGCATTTTGCACACAGCCTGTAAATGTCAACAACAAAAGGAGTGTGTAAAACATGTATATTGTAGTGATGGCAGTATACTGTGTATATTTATAGTGGCAGTATGGGAAATGATTATTTGGAAATGCTTGAAATGGAAATGATCATTTACTGTGAGGTGAGGTGTGGTTGGGGTGTGGACAGTAGTTGTGCTTTTGTAACGTTGAGGTATGGACAGCTACACACTGAGGCTTTGAGCCTCAGTCCTGCCTGTTCACATTTTATTCTGTAAAAACTAAATTTTCACTGCTTTTACGACCTTTTTAGTGGGGAGAACATAGCTAGGATTTAATGATTTAACAAGTCTTTTGAATCCTTTGTCCTCCACAATGCTAAATGGCTGTGAGTCCTCAATCACCATGCTGACCAGGTCTTCATCTATTTGAGATTGTTCTCCTGAGGAAAGACAATAAAGACAAAGCACAAATATAAATATCACACACGTAACTTATTACAGTTGTATAATATTGTTATATCATTTAGTAACATTACTGCATCCTATATTATCATTGCATTTGATGGCTCACCTGGTCTTGCTCCACAATCGGTGTTCCCCTTATTCTCATGCAAAGCTCTGTAGTGCCTAAGCATGGATGAGGTGTTGTTGTTATATCCCAGCTCCCTGGCACATAGCAAACACTTCACCTTGTACAAAAGTAAAGACAGCTTAACATAAATTGTATTGCACCATCAGTATCATGAAAATACATCTTCTGTAGAAATTTACATACCTTGTTGGGAGGAATAAGATCAAAATGTTCCCTCACAGGGGAGGACATCCTCCTCTTCTTAGCTGGCTCCATTCTCTCCTGACTTTCCTCACTCTCATAAACCTCCAAACTGTCTCCAAACTCACACTAACCGCAACTCTCCATCAAACACCCACATTTTTGAATGAAGTCTGAGGGGTTTATATCGCTGTCATAGCTCGCGGCAAAGTTCGAACCACTTCATGAACCAGTCACGTGGTACAGCCGGGCAGCGAGGCTTCGGACGTCATCATTTTCAGCTCCTCCCATAAATGAAGCAAGCCTCGATACGCGCTTCGCGGAAACGCCCCCTCCATTACTCGACACACGCTCCGAAGCCTCGATACAGAACGTCCCATCACTAGTAGTTAGTGTTTGTGCTGTTATCATGCTCCTTCTTTAATAAAGTGGCAAGCCATGGATGTCTTTTACTCCAGTCTTGTGTCATATTATTGGACAGAACCTATGACCGCCGGCCAAAACTGACATTGATGTGGATCTTAACATTGCTAGAAACTTTTTTTCCATTTATCTTCTATCATATCACATTTGGTTTTTCTAAAATTGAACATTAAACATACTTTTGCAGATGACCAGCAGCTGTTTTCCATCTGTGAAGATGGAGGTGGTCCATTACTGGATGATCAGAAGCAGGACAAATATGAGCTGAGTAAGAAGCTACTTTGACATACATAAATAAAGTTCAGTTCTAGACAGGACTGCTGTTTCATGTCTCTTACATGAAACAACAACATGTCTCTTATATATACATATAAAGATACATTAGCTCATGTCCTCTTAAAGCACAAACAGTAGATAGTAGCAGCATGCTCCCTTTCGGTTATATAAATGGTCAAGTTCTTGTTGAGCTGGGCAACACATAATTGTGACTAACATAAGAATTTATTTGTTCCTAGGGGTGGACGACAGTAGCAGCCTGGGATTTCAGGCACCGATAGAGGATGAAGAGTATGAATATTTAGAGCAGGAGGAAGGATACACGACAGAGCTGGATTATGTAACAACATCAAGGTTAAAAGACAAGTGCATAAATGTCTACTATGTACAAAAGTATATGTGTTATCTTTTGTATCCCAGCTCCCGTTTTTCCGTGTTTTCCTTAGGTTCTTGACTCAAACAGTCCCGTCTAAGAGGAGAAAAAAACATGGCAAACGTCGAATCAGCAAATCACAAAATTGCATAGATCTCAAAATCCGCATATTGGAAAACCCAAACATTGAAGTGCTTTCAAATACTGGTAAGTCTAAAGCAAACGTGATGTGAAATTTAAATGTTAAAAACAGAATGAAAACACCTCAGTACACATGAAACTCTGGAGCAGATGTGGAAGATTTCACTGTGATTGATTCAGTGTTCCTCTGTGTTCTAGTGTTTCGGATGTACCGGCTTCACAAGCTGAAGGTTCGTCGTGGTTTGAAGGAAGCTGACTTCCTGAAACTACTCAGGTCTACCTTCCCTCAGCTGGCTGGAGATGAACCTTTTGACCTTTTCTTATATTGCAACCTCAAGAAACTGAAACCTCTGCAAGTAGACTCTGTGACACCAGAGGAAATCATCAGAGTTTCTCGGGGATCTACCCTCTACATACGACTGCAGGTACTGTGCTGAGAAGATTTAACTGATCTCAACAGCGTTACCAAAGATTACAACACATTGACAACTTGATTTGAGAAGAAAATTCCAACCTTCTGTAAAACAGAAAGAAGATGCTGATGAAGATCATGAAGATCTTCCATCCACTGAGACAGACACCCATATAAATCTCAGAATCCGCATCCTGGAAAAGCGAAAGATTAATGTTTTGTCAAAACAAGGTAAGTCTAAAGCAAACATGATGTGAAATTTAGATGTTTCTGCTATAAAAATGCAGCACATGTAAGCCGTATATCACCTTGTTACCTACTAGGTAAGTTCTGAAGTGCTTTTCACCCTTTTACCTGCTCGGAGATCGGTCTATTAAACACAGGTGAAGCTGATGGTCTCCACCACACCTCTATACCAAAAACAGTCATTTGCACCTTGTAAATCACAATTGTTGATGCCAGTAATGCTCGAGAGCAGCTGAAACCCTGGTCAGGACCAATGTTCCCTCTAAGCTGCGTACTGCGTACAGAAAATCTAGGTTGTGCGCAAAAAAAAAATCTAACCTGAATTGAAATTAAAGTAAATATTTTAACAATTCTGTCTTTTGCAGTGTTAGTAAGTGACTGGCTGCTCCCGTATGGGGTTAGACCGATGCCACCTTATCCCATAGTCCAGCCAATAATGCGATTCACATTCGTATATACGCAGCTAATCAACATCGCTAACAGGCTATGACAGCGTCCTTATGTGTCGACACCGGTGTTTTAGCTAGCAAAGTGGCGTGACTGATGTGGCGTGAAGCCACGTTAGTGTATAACCATTGGAGATGTGCGCAGGACAGACAGAACAATTGACGGAACAAGTGTGGACTTTATACCAGTTTTTAAATTGTGTTGATAGGCCACGTAAAACCAGAGTTATGACAAAAATATCTGCAATGTTTGGTTTTCTTCCTGAATATTATCATTGTTTATATTTACTGCGGGAAGAAATGGTAAAAACTGCGTTTTATAAGGAAAACGTTCGAAAGCACTCTCCACCTGTGAGCAAAGACAAAACCAAAAAGCCCCCACCCTTTCCCATTCGTCGAAAAATGTACCATGTCGACCAATCAAAACATGATATGGCAATATGGCATTTAGTGGTTTAGGAATGGGGGGGCATCAAATTTGATGCAGAACAGCTGACTGTTCCGTAAATAGTTTGAAATGTTTTTTTAAAAAAATGCCTTAGTTGCATTTTTAGGTAAACAGTTGCAAAAAACTTTGTTTGCAAAACTCAGTAACTTTTTTGAAGAAGTAACTATATAATTAACTGCCCGACATCAACTGTATTTTGCAGACAGAGCGTTACAGGACTATCTCCCAGACCAGACTCATACCCATAATACAAGTCAGAGCTTGTATGTAAATGTAAATGCTATAATTTGATTATTTTAATAAACCATGTAACTTGGATGGATTCGATGCTGGCATGACCACAGTGCACACGTCTGATGTCGCTCACAATGGTCCAAGGGATCGCTCAGGGAGTTTGTGTGTTCGCTCAGACACATGAAAAATTAGAGGGAACATTGGTCAGGACACATATACCGTTTGTGCTGCCTCCCTGCACTCTACATGGACATCTTCATCTTTCTGCACTACTCCCTGGTCTAAGAATTGTAACATATTAATAAAGAAATATGTACTATAATACCAAGAATATTTTCATTATAAAACACAATGAAAACACCTCAGTACACATGAAACTCTGGAGCAGATGTGGAAGATTTCACTGTGATGATTGGAACATTAGGAGCCCATGTCACCACTGGTACCTCCAAACTGTGAAAGCAGATTCCAGATTCAATTGGAAAGTAGTATCAGACGAACATTTAGTGAAAGTACAACAGGAAAGTGATGATTTCTTTCTCCTAATACTGGAAAAATTGAACTGATCTCTCAGCGTTCCTCTGTGTTCTAGTGTTTCAGACGTGCCCGCTTCACAAGCTGAAGGTTCATCGTGGTTTGCAGGAAGCTGACTTCCTGAAACTACTCAGGTCTACCTTCCCTCAGCTGGCTGGAGATGAACCTTTTGACCTTTTTTTAAGGGCCAAGCACAACAAACTCAAACCTCTGAAAGGAGACTCTGTGACACCAGAGGAAATCATCAGACTTTCTCGGGGATCTACCCTCTACATACAACAGTCACTGTGTCCAGAAGATTTAAGACTTAAGATCCGCATCCTTGAGGACCCTAAGATTGATAAGATCACAAATATAAGTAAGTTTAAAGCTTTTAACCTTCAAAGATCTTTGGAAGGATTTGATGCCGTTAACGTTTTCTACCTCTTATTAGCTCCTTAACTTGATTTAGAGGCTTTGCATGTCTCAAGAGTCCAACGTACTAGTCATCCAGCTCTCTGTGCAGGTTTGCTGAGTTACCCGTTTATTAGTTGATTCAGGAAAACATGTCTTCTAACTTGTCGATGACTGAAACTGCTTTGACTGTAGTCACACTGCCCGCTGTCTTAAAAAACCTCGTAACATTATAAAAGATACCTCACACTCTGGCCACTCCCTGTTTGAACTGTTGCCCTCGGGCCGACGGTACAAAGCAATCAGCGTAAGGACAAACAGACTCAAACACAGCTTTTACCAAATCAGAAAAATATGTCTTGATGCTGCTACTCCTGAAGTGATTTTATTTTACAAATTTTATTTAAAGTTTACATTTGTATGGATGATGCATTGATCAGAGATCAATTCTAATTTCGTTCTACCTGTGACAATGACAAAAAAGACATTCTGATTCTGACTTTGTGAGCTTCTCTGTTTTCTCTCAGTGTGTCAGAATCACCCGTCTCATGAGCTGAATGTTCCTCGTGGTCTTCAGGAGGCTGACTTCCTGGCTCTGCTGAGGTCCACTTTCCCTCAGCTGGCTGCTGGTGAACCTTTTACCATCTTAATTGGTCGCAACCACAATCTAATTCCTCCAAGAGTGGAGAGTATGACTGCAGAAGAGATCTGCAAGAATGGGACTGGGAATCCTGGTATTTACATCCGACTGAAGGTACTGCAAGAACCAATTTAACATCAGGGTGAAAACATTGTTTAAATGTGGAGCATGTTGTTCTGAATGAAAAATCAGAAAAAAACTATTCTTTTACTTTTTGGTGGAAATTTAGGGTCCAGAGAAAAGGTCTCTACAGAGAGAAGATGCTACTGCTGCTGAACTTCCTCCACCCAGCCTGGATCCAACCACACTGACCACTGAGTGAGTCAAAGAAAAGAGTAAGCTGCTGCTGTTAGAGTTTGTTATTTATGTCAACAGTTCAATCCAATTTTGTTCTTTTCCCCCAGAGTTGAGTCTGAGAAACCTCAGATCAGTCAATCAGACACCCACGTGCATCTCAAGGTCCACATTGTGGAGGACCCTCAGATGGATACCATCTCGCCCAATCGTAAGTTCAAAGCCTTTTAATTTATCTGTCCAGTACAATATTCAGTTATCACCACTGTGATCACATGCTGAGCTGAAATAATAAAGAGTAGCCGAGCATAGCTCCTAGGGTGGTCAGGACACATTTGTGACTATGAGGTCCTTTGTAGAGCTCTGTAGGCATGCTGCTGGATGGTTTGGGAAGCTTGTGATGACCTGAGTTTGGACCAGTTTGTCAAAGCACTTCATGATTACTGGAGCACGAGCCACTACACAGCAGTCATTCAGAATGCTGATGGTGGTCATTTTTTGGTAGTGGTACCGTGATAGAGGATTTCAAGCAAGGCTGTCAGTGGTAAGGCTTAATGTTGGGGACATGGTCTCTTTGACTGACAGGTGGCTGTAGCTGCTTCCTGAACCTCAACTAGACCTCTGGATTGTGTTTGTGCTCTTGGAGCAGTCAAAACACATTGAGCACCTTATTCCTAAACGAGGGACTACATCTGTAGCATTAACATGGTTGGTTATGAACAGTCTGACATGGACCAGGAAATTGTACTATGCAAATTATAATGCAAACCGGTCCCCACCATGGACTCAAACATGGAAAACCACTTTTACCACCTATGCAACAACTTATGTCTAAAAATGTATAGCTTCATGTATCGGTGACTCTGCACCTAGTGTAGTCTGGCTCCAGCAGATCCTAGGAAAAACGTTGGAGATCTCTTTCCAGAAGACTGCAGTCCTAGAAACAGCTAAGATACTGCTTAGGACCCTCAATGCTCCAAAGCGTCTGGTATAGGACCCAAGCTCAAAGGATATGTGCCACAAAGAATTTATAAAGTGTCTGGTCAGTAGGGATGGGTATCGTTTAGGTTTTATACGATACCGGTGCCAAATCGGTACTTTTGAAACGGTGCCGGTGCTCAAACCGGTTCTTAAAGAATGGAGAACACAAAATTGGTCCAAAAACCTCTCATGTTCAGCTGGTTTTTTGTAAAAAGATAACAATGTTAGCCTTTTCTACAGCTATGGGGCATATATGGTATCACTCTTGGCTGGAAGCAGTTCTTAAACAATGGAAAAAACACAAACTTTGTCCAAAAACCTCTCATGTTCAGCTGTTTCCCTCTTTTTCTTTGGTCATTTTAGCCATTTTGGCCAGGGTGAAGGGAGTATCTGCCATCAAACAAGAAGACAGCTGCATGTAACTATGAAGGTGTTTGCTAGTTCACCTTACATGCATTAATGTAATAATGTAATAACCTGGTTAGCCTACTCAATGTAAATTACACACGAACAACATTAAACTACTCACGCAGAGGAAAAACGGCTGCTGCTGCCATCATCATCCTCATCATTTCTGCTACACTGGCAGGGCTAGGGGCCAGGACTCTCCTCTTCGGGTTTTTGGGGATGTTGCTAAATCCGGGTCCGATAACAGACACCACACCCGCAGTAGATGTGCTCGGTGTGAGGTCTCGCAGCAAGCTATCAAAATAAAAAATTAAACCAAAACATAATAAACTCAAAATACTGGGTCCAACGGACCCAGAACCGTGACATACATGAATAAAGTTCAGTTCTAGACAGGGCTGCTGTTTCATGTTTCTGATGTATGATCAGTAGACAAGTCTAATAAAAACATTTCATTCATAATTATGTGATAATTAGGCAACTGCAGTCCTCAAGTTCCGGTGTCCTGCAGGTTTTAGATATCACCCTGGGTCAACACACCCGAATCAGATAATTAGTTTATTACCAGGCCTCTGGAGAACTTGGAGACATGTTGAGGAAGTAATTTAGGAGGTATTGTTTTTTTTTAATGAGCTGTGGTGGATCAAGAACACATCTAAAACCTGCAGGACACTGGCACTTGAGGCTCCTGATGTACTGTCTCCTGATAGCATCTCCATGACACCAGACACTAAGCCGACAGACACAGCAAACCTTATCCCCACAGCTTGTATTGACAACACATTCTCACTTCCAGAGCGTAACATTTTACGCTAGGTGACAAATCGTCAATATATTACGTTTTTGGGCACCCAACTCGTTCCTAAATGATGACATTGGAAAAAATGAGGAAATATGAAAACCGTTTGGACTCAATCTACACGTTTGCTCCTTTTCTTATAATCGCTTGGGAAAACACTATTTAACGTCATTAAAGTGCTGGTTAAGGTTGGGAATAAGTTGAGCTGGGCGATAGAACGATAACGATATGTATTGCGAAATAACTTTTTCTTGTTAGAAAAATGAAACTGTTGCGATAGTCCTCGTCTCTCTCTCTTCCTCTCTTAAAAAAAAGAAAAAAAGAACAGCCAATCCAAATTAAGTAGCGCAGAGCTAAACCAATCACAGCCGCAGCGTCAAGTCACGTGACTTGTTACGTACAGCACAAGTGCCAAGCTGCACATGTATTTGTTTGGGAAGCAGCCAGCCACCGTGCCGGCCGGGTAATGGAGAAAATGAGTGTGCCGACTAGAGAAAAATCAACCGAGAGCTTGGGTGACCAGGTTAGAGAAGAGAACACAGATGACGGTTCCAATGCCGGAGAGATTGTCGAAAGGAAGGGCCGGAGAAATTCTGTAGTGAGGAGGTATTTCGGTTATTTGAAGTGTGACAAAAAAGTAGCGCGCAATGTAAATTGTGCCGAAAGCATGTTCCCACAAAGTCTGGTTATACAACATACCTTTTTTTGTCCCCTGAAGCAGTGCCACCCACTAGAGCATGCTCAATCTCTGACTGAAATCGCTAATTCGTCATCGAAAACAACCAGGGGAATCCCTGTGAAGCAGCAACAGTCAATTGAGTCGGCATTCTCCAGCGTCTTACCATATGACAAAAAAGCTGAGAGACATAGCGACATAACGAATGCCATAGCCTACTGCCTTGCTAAAGACATGCTACCAATAAACACGGTTGAAAATGAAGGATTCAAGCAGCCAATTAAGGTAATGGATCCTCGTTACCAACTTAAGTACATCTGCCCTGTTGAACTTATTATGGGAAATAAATATTTAAATCAAAACAAGCTGCTGATTATTTCACATTTTACTTGTGAGCAACAGCACATTTAAATCTTACAAATATAGTTATTTGGCTTTGGCTAACGTGATAGTCTGAAGTGCACGGGCCATCATTGGGGCCGGGTGGTGATGTCCCTGCCCTGTTTCAAAAAAATTACCCATCTTGGGTGTATAAGCATTTTACATCATTGGGCCCTCGTGACGTTTCGGCATTTCTTTCTATTTATTTCTGTCCCTCTCTTGGCTTTAACACTTTTTCTTTGCTCCTCCCACTCTTGTTTTTTCAACTTGTTTTTCTTAAAAATTCTTTCCTACTTTTGTTCTTTTGTTTGTGTTTTTCTCTTTGCATGACTTTCTTGTCTTTACTTCTTTTCCCTTACTTGTGATCTATTTGTCTTTATTTGTTTACTACTTTTCTCTCTGTTTGTTTTTCGTGACTTTCTCTTGTCTTATGTAACTTGTTTTCTCTTATGACCTCTTTAGGGATAAGGTTAGATTTAGGACTGGAATACAGGGCTGGAACGTCTTGTGTGGGTTGTAGACTTCGTCTCATGTTACCACTAGAGTGAAATCACTACCAGGATTGAAAAGTGACCAAAACATCAGCCAGAAAGCATACAGTCTAGCCCATTATTATTTATACCCCTGGCAAATTTTGACTTAAAGTGAGTTTTATTCAACTAGCAAGTTATTTTTTTTGATGGGAAATGGCACAGGTGTTTCCCAAAAGATAATAAGATGATATACAAGAGGCATTTTTGTGGAAAAAAAAATTCTCAGCTTTTTTTTACATTTGAGCAAAAAGTGTTATGTCCAGAATTATGCATACTCTTCACAAACTGTCAGTCTCTGGGAAAATCCAAAGTTCCATACCATTCCAAAGAATCCAAGCGGTTCTAAAGCATCCTAAATACCCTGATTAATTGGGAACTGTTCATCTGGACAAAGAACAAGACTTCTGGTCTTCTGTGGTTTTGTGTCGCTTAATGCGACTTATAATTCGGTGTGCCTCATGATCTGAAAAATACGGTAACTTCTACCTTTTCACCTTCCTTTCAAAGTCCAAGTTTTTGTGCTATGGTTTAGAGCAGGGCGATATGGCCAAAAATATTTATCACGATATATATTTGAAAATTTGCGATAACGATATAACTGACGATATAATTGATGCGAGACAAAATACAACTCCACAACATTACTAGCGCAAAAAGACAACTTTCCATTTATTTTCTCTTAAACAAGAAGCTGGTTTTTATGTACAGTAAAGCTTTATAAAAATGTAACAGTGCAAATGCAAATTCCTTGCTGAAAGTTTAACCAAAAGGCATTTCCAGTAGAAATGGGCTGACATATCCTGAGCATAACCATGTATAATATCCACTGAAGTTAAAACGAGGTGCTTTGCAACATTAAACTGCAGTGTACAGTACGTATTTTTCGGACCATAAGGTGCACGGGATTATAAGGCACATTAAGCGAAACAAAGCAGTCAGATAAATCAAACTTTATTAAACTCATTCTTGTTGCTTCCTCCACTTCTGTACCATTGATTCATTAATGTTGAATTCTCTGCAGCTGCTCTATTCCCATGTTGTTGCAGTATATTAATGACTAACCTTGTATTGTGGATGGATTATCTCAGTTGTTCTCCTGACTTAAGTTTGGTCCGTTTACAGCATCCTGCCATGCAATTGCATTTGTGTCTAACTATCAGGAACTTTAACGTTAACTTTTATAAGTGGAAAAGTGTTAGTGTTCGTCCTCCAGCTTCACTGTTTATGTTATGCTAACATAGCTGTGTCGCTAGCAATCAGGTAGCACATCATTATATACCAGCTAGCCCAACTTCAGTAACCCTACAAATAGAGCTGGGCGATATGAGATTTTTTCATATCACGATATGTTTTTTTCATTTCAGGCGATAACGATATCTATCACGATATAAGCCAAATAACTATATTTGTAAGATTTAAATGTGCCGTTGCTC